ACTTTCCCTTGAGCCATGTACCTTAATAATAATAATAATAATAATAATAATAATAATAGCCTAATAGTCCACTCCAAATTTTATTAAACCGAAACGGAAATTCTTTTTGCCCAATTGATCGTGAGCCCGGCAGCCACTGAGCAGCGCCAGATCGACGTTGCTCTATCCCTTATTGTTGAACGCCAAAGAACTAACTAGCAACAACTAATGTTGTTATATAATATGTTAAAGGTGTCACCCTGGACCAATAATATATGATAAGAAAAAATCTACCAGTTTTTCCGGATTTTTACTAAATTTGTAGATTTATTTTTTCTGTGGATTTAGCTCCTTTTGGAATGAAACATGATATTGTACCTGAAAAATTTCATATATACTCAATAAAGTCACTGAAATTTATTCGAATTTAGTAGCAAACCTTTCCTTTTAAATAATGATAGTGAAATCACAAATAAAAAACCTTTTGAAAAGAAATTAAACAACATATCACAGTATCATTCCAAAAGGAGCTAAATCCGTTTCATTCCAAAAAGAGCTAAATCCATGTTTCATTCCAAAAGAAGCTAAGTCCACAAAATCTAAAAATTTAGTAAAAATCAGAAATAACTGGAAGATTTTTTTCTTCTTATCTTATATTAATAATAATATAATGTATTATTGGTCCAGGGCGAAACCTTTAACATATATAACAACATAAAAGTACATGGCTAAAGAGAAAGTGGAGAAATAAAAAAGGTGATTTACTCAAAAGTACCCAAAGTGGATTTAGCTCCTTTTGAAATGAAACCGATTTGGATTTAGCTCTTTTTGGAATGAAACCGATTTGGATTTAGCTCCTTTGGGAATGAAACATGATATTGTAGCTAAATTTGTTCATACTTCCTGCTGAAATTTTCGAATGTGATATAGTGCATTTTGTCACCATGTAGGAAATCATTATTTTAAGACAGATAACTCAATTTTGATAAAAATATGGATTTAGCTCCTTTTGGAATCAAGCTCTTCATATAAAAATGACAAAGGTTTACAATGATGTTTAAAAATTTACTTTACCCACAATTAGGCATTGAGAAGAGGGGAAACAGTCTTAGCATGTACTGGGTTGGCACCACACCACGCCCGGTTCCTTTCCTTTGAAACACCCCCAAAACTGTAACAGACCTCTTGAAAACTTGAAAACACTTGAAAACCTTGACTATTCATGGGTGTTTCCATTTACTGTACCACTTCTTTCTGAGCTACCTGACACACTTTAATCTGACACACTTTTTTCCTATTCATTTTCTACACAGAGGCATTTTCAAGAGCCATGATCTGTGATTGGCTTTTTTGCTAGTAAATATTCATGATTATGCAAATTATTAAGATCGCGCACAGTTCATATCCTTTGTTTTGGTCTTGCGAAAAATACGATCAACTTTTCAAAAAGTTCCTGAAAATGACACTTTGAGCGAGAATTTTTTTTAATGAGTCAGTTTTGTAAATTCTGAGGTATGCATGTTGATTTGGTAATATGAAATGTTATGAAACGGACGTATATTTGTTCTCAGGACCATGTTTTGATGGGGTAACGGGGTTGATTTCCCCCCCAATGAAGGTGATCGCAGCCATTATGTTACTGCACGACTGCTAGCCACGGCTGTCGGGCCGCAGTCATCCCGCGCCCCGGTCAGCTGATCGACCTGCTGGGGCGTAATCATGCAACATGTGTCTGCATATAGATCTAGGACTTGTTTAATTGTAGCATCAGAATTAGAAGCTAGCCGTAGGTCTAGGCCTACATTAGAAGAAGTTGTACAGTGTTTTTGCACATGGTAATGTAGGCCTAGAGCTACGGCTGAACTTCTAATTCTGATTCAAACAAGTTGTATGCAGACACATGTTGCATGATTAGACCCCAGCAGGTCGATTAACTGACCGGGCCGCGGAGCGGCTTCGGCCCGACAGCCGTGGCTAGCACTCTTGCAGTAACATAATGGCTGCGATCACCTTCATTGGGGGAAAAATCAACCCCGTTACCCCATCAAAACTTGGTCCTGAGAACAAATATACGTCCGTTTCATAGCATTTCAATATTACCGAATCAACGTGCATACCTCAGAAATTACAAAGCTGACTCATAATAAAATTTTCTCGCTCAAAGTGTCATTTTCAGGAACTTTTTGAAAAGTTGATCGTTTTTTTGCAAGACCAAAACAAAGGATATGAACTGTGCGCGATCTTAATAATTTGCATAATCATGAATATTTACTAGCAAAAAAGCCAATCACAGATCATGGCTCTTGAAAATGCCTCTGTGTAGAGAATGAATAGGAAAAAAGTGTGTCAGATTAAGCTATGGATTAAGTGTGTCAGGTAGGTCAGAAAGAAGTGGTACAGTAAATGGAAACACCCACTATTCATCAAGTGAAGTGGAAATCTCCATAAGCAGCTGTACATAACTGGGCCCACATCTAATTTGAATACGATCCTCGCATAACTTACATGAGCTCACAAAAGAACATCTAATTTAAATAAGATCCTCACAATGTTCTTGTTCACTAATGTTTGATGTTGTGTCTTTGTTTCCTCAATAGCTCAGCTCAATGTCACCCATCCCAACCAGTTGGTGAGGGAAGAAGCACAAGGTAATGTACAAGCTCTCCTAGATGCCAGTTCCTCACAGATCAGTTTGGACCAATCCACAGGAGTATCGGCAGATTCTCTAGAAAGGCTGAAGACATTCAGCGAATCGTGTACACCTCAATTAAACTTGGTGAAGGACTTGAAGAGGAGCATAGGAAGGGATGGACTCTACAACCTCAATGGAATGACTCATGATTCTATTCATTTCCATGTGAAGGTGTATACTATCGAAGGGCTACATAGGCTTCAAAGTGATGTCCAAAGCGGCCACATCGGACATCAGCTTGGAAAGGTTCTCGTCTCTGAAAAAACCAGGCAGCAATTTCTGGAGGACATCATTTTGGATGTTGTGCTTGACGGAAGTGGTGCTTGGGATCTACTTTCACATGCAGTCATTGACCCGATCCCTTCAAGCACTAGTCTGTCGACAGATTTTGAGAAGAGGGAAGCATTGAAAAAAGACCAAACATCATCGTCAGATCTCATGGCCCAACAAGGGCACCCAGTTGTCCAAGCAGCCACTGTCAGAAAGCAGGTTGTCAATCAAGAGGAAGGAACTTCTGGTCTCCCAGCTGGTAGTTCTCCTCTAGCAACATCCGGAGCACTCGCTTCATTTGCAATGATACAGGATAAATGTGGGCCAGAGGATGCTGTGGACAAAGAAAAAGAATCTCTAACAAGCACAGAGAAAGCAGATACAGGTAAGAACAATTATATTATACATTGAGCTATCCTTATCCTATCCTGTCCCTATCCTTACATCTTTTACATTGAATTTGATTTGAAGGAAATTTGTGATTTGTTAAAAGGTAGAAAGTTTATTTCACGCCTTTATCGGAACCATGTGTGTTTATTCTGTTTGAGGGAACATAGCTGAAGTAAAGGGCAATCCAACCCTTGCAAGAAGTTCATGTGTATGAAAACAGAAAAATAAGATAAACAGAACGGTGGAAGTTGGAGATAAATAAGAGCAAAAATAAGAGAACTACGGTACAGATGTTTGAAATATGAGATCACTAAAAAGATGCGAATATCGAAACGGTAATTTAGTCTGGGGATTGTTATGTAGACAAGGACAACTCTCCTGTACGCTACTACATCACAGAGACATTACTGATTTAGCAAATGTGAAGAGCCCACACCTTTAGTAATTAGAACTTTTAACAATGCATTACATTTTACTTTTTTGTCCCATTTCATTCAAAGTTTCACCAGTATGCTTCTCTGATTTTTCTGCAATTAATGTTGGATTTTTCTTTAAGGCAATTGTTAATACCAAATGCCCAAAATTCATTTTGTGTGGTACATGTACTTTTAATGGTGGTAGAACAAGAATGGGGGTAATTTATTATTATTATCAATATTCATTATTATAAGTATTAATAATTTGGCGGCACCTGTGTCTGTGAGGCGAAAAGCGAACTGAATCACTGTAACCCTTAGGTCTCTCCAGGTATAACTGATAGGGGGTCCAGGTGGAACACTACACCTTAGTTTCCTCCTACTCTTATACGAATAGCGCAGTGCGTTCTTAACGTGCAACGGTGGTGACTCTCCTCTACACGGGGCCTCCATTTAACGTCCTATCCGATGGACGGAGTGTTTTCCACTTACGCAGGCTTTAGTCATCCGCCAGGGTTGGATTCGAACACAGGATCTTTGGTTCAACAGGCATACGCTTTACCGACTGAGCCAACTCGCCTCTTCATATTCCATCACATTGTACTGTAATGCATGCTGAAAGTATGGGGAGATGTCGTGGTACACTAGTTGTTCATTCACTTGGCTCTCCGTTATAGGGTGGAGGGTTAGAATCCCAGCTGGGCACCAACATCCTTTGGCAAAACATAAATTTGGATTTGCCACCCTCCCCCCCCCCCCAGTGTAAATGGATTCCTAAATAGCACCATCGGGGAAAAAAAAACATTAATGCTGATGAGGCTTTCCTAGGTAAACAAAATTAGTTGTATTGTATTATAACCAAAGAAACATTAAAGTATGTTTTTTAGACATCACATTTGATTATGTGAACAAATGTCTTGTATAAGTTAACATTGATTTTGTCTTTACATATATGATAATATTTAGAACTTTCTAATTTGGATCCTTTTATTCTTACATATTTCAGGTGAAGCATCAAAAGAGATGAAGGACTGGACAGACAAATACGTGACCTTCTGGCTGAAAAATTATGTACGTCTCTCTGATGAACTTGTTAGTAAGTTTGAAGGTGTGAATGGTTACACGTTAAAATGGTGTTCCAAAGCTGAACTGATAGAAGATTTCGAACTCACTGCAGTACATTGCAAAAGTTTGATGATAAGGAGGGAGCGTTACCTTGAACAAGAACGAATGGGCTTAACGACCATCCATGTAGACTCCAGAGGTGTGGACGCTCCAGGTAAGACACAAACGATAACAGCTCCTTCTCTAAAAGACATTCCTGTTTCATCGCTTAAGATGTATCAGGACACTGTTGAATCTTCTGTAGACATGGAGACAGGATATGGCTCATCCTATACTTCTGCCACACCTAATCCATCTGAAGTGGATTTCCCAATGCCTCCGTTTGATCATCAAGAAAGGCAGAAATCACTGTATCAGGGATCTGGGATTGGAGGTAAGGACAGTAACTCAGATACAGAAAGAAAGCTTACTAAACTTCTTCTTGGGTCTGACAAAGGTCAGCTTGATTCATCCTACTATCCAGTTCTGGTTGTCAACACACCTGCTCAACAGTTCAGTTCTGCAGAATTGGAGGAACGGTTTGGCTTCATGTCTTCTGTCAGATGGAATGTTGTCTTTGACTGCAATGCAGATTCCAACAAGATGGGGCTCTGTCAGTATGTAAATCAGAGGAAATCGATCAAGATCTTGAGTGCAGATAAATTTACAGAGACAGAGGATGTAGATGTCCTTAGAGAAGGAATTGACTTCCCAGAGATTCCTGTTTGGCTGTTCCCTAATGGTCGGAATGATGTGAATGTGGCAGGAATGGACAAGATGTCAGATATGGACTGGATGAGAGAACGCTCACATGCAGTCTTGAACACCGTCCGGTTCTTCTCTCACCCTGGTGTCATTCCGCCAGGCAGAGCAGTCGTTGTGTTCTTCCTGCTTTCATATTCAGATATCATGGTCATGACACAGTTGTTCAAGGAGTTCTATACTTCCAAATCCTTTCAGGACCTGAAACATTTCACTGTCATCGCAGAGAATCAGGGTATACTGCACAAATGGATTCAGCATCTTGAAAGTCAAAGCATCGTTTCAAGCAAGGATATGAAAGATAGATGTCTTGGAGGAGTGCCATGGCAGGAGATCAACACATACATGTTGAGACTTCTAGGATCATGTGAGACGCGTTTGCCAGAACTTCCTAAGTTTCCAAGAGGACAGTGCGAACTAAGGAAGAAACACCAGAGTCAGTGGTCGGACATATCAATCCTAGCAAAGAATGAGTGTGAAAACACTTCTATGGATGAGAGTAACCCCAAATTCTTGGACTTTGTTCAAGAGAAAGAGTCTCGATTCTATCAAGGTCATGAAGTTGACTGGTGGAATTTCTATCTGTCAGAAGAGAGGTTGAATGGAGGCAAGGGCTTCAATCATGTTCTGAAGCGTCAGGTCTACAAGAGGCTCTATTCTGATGTTCATGAAGTACTCGATTCTCAAGGCAAGAAGGTCTCTTCCATTTCAATGGCAACTGTCTTTCATGAAGCAGGTTCAGGAGGCACAACGGTAGCAAAGAACCTCTTGTGGGACTTTCACCGACAATACAGATGTGCAGTTGTCAATAGGTTCACTAATGACACAGTGAATCAGATTGTTGCCTTTCACAAGTATGGCTACGAGGAAGGACAAGAGCCAGGGCCAGTTGTCCTCCTCTTGGAAAACCTGAATTCTGAGACCATGCGACCGTTTCTAATAAGCCTTGAAAGAGAAACCAGGTACTTAGAAAACAATGGATTGGCTTTTGTTCTCATCCATTGCAAAAGAACCTCAGAGCCGCAACGCCATCAGCAGAAGGAAGAATCAAAGTCATGCGTTTGTGTTGAACATAAACTAACAGCAGAAGAGAATCAGTGGTTCACAAAGAAGACCAAAGATCTTGAGCAGAGGAGTGTGTTCAGTGAAGAGGAGTCTCCTGAGCTCCTTCTTGCTTTCATGGAGATGAAAAAAGAATGTGATCCTGAATACCTGAAAAAGGTTGTGAAGGGCATTCTTCCAAGAGTTGGCAAAGAATCCAAGAATGCACTCAATCTATTGAAGTATATCGCTGTAGTGCAGAAGTACAATCCTGGTTTTGCAATGCCTGTTTCTGCCTGTGATGGTTTCATGCAAAGTCAAGATAGAGTGATGTCCAGTGGTCGGCAATACACATCTGGACCCTGGGAGAAAAATAGGCAACCATTCCTGGAACTGCTTCTCCATGAAGAATTCATTCAAGATATTGACGGCTGTGTGAAAGGCCTTGCAATCGTCCATCCTGTTATTGCTACAGAGATTGTAGGTCAGCTTGGAGAACTCTTCCAACAAACACCTGCTGACATGTTCCTTGAACTTCTTGAAGAGTCAACAATCCTGGACACCTTGTCTTACAGTAAAGGCTACATTCAGGCGGTTTGCAGAGATTTGATGGTAAGGAGACTGAGGAAAGAGTATGGAGATGATAGAGATACTGACTTTGCTCCTTTCATTGAAGAAGTATATGCAGAGGATAGAGCGAAGGCATACAAGATCATGGAAGTTGGCATCAAGAAATTCCAAGACCCATTCATAGCACAACAGAAGGCTCAACTTCACAGCAAGCGAGAAGATGATTTTGATAATGCAGAACAAGCCATCAATATAGCACTTAGCATTGTCAGCAAGAACCCATATTTGTGGGACACAAAAGGAATCATCCTTCGACAGAAGATGACACAGTATGAGCACAGGTTGGACCAAGAAGTTATCAGTGACTGTGAAATGAAGGAGCTGTTGAGTACTTTCAATGAATCTTGTGCAGCATTTCAAAATGCTCAGAAGGCTATGGAAGAAGATAAAGGAAGAAGGAATTATGCTGGCTTTGTCGGTGAAATCACCACCATTGGTCGATTCCTGGAAATAGTACAGAAGAGGGTGAGACCTTTCTGTTCCAGGAATACAGGATTGGAGACTTTGAGGAGGTATCTAATGACGGAATATATTCCTCCTGATCTCACCCTACCTTCACTCCTTGAATTCAGTGATACCATGAAATCATTGTCAAAGAGAGTTGATGAAGTGCTTGGGCGTTTCACTGACTATCTTGTTCATTGTGCACAGCAACGATTTGGTGGAGCCTCGTACAGAATCTATGATGACAAATTGGAGAAAATCTACACTGCCAAACACCGCTTCTTCGCTCTGTCGTCTCCACAGCTTGAAGATGTACGTGTGCATGCACAGTACCCAGTGGAAACTGCTTATGCAATGAGACGATCTGAAGTGAAAAGGATGAATGCGGATGGATACCAACAGATCTTTGACATGGCCTCAAAGAAGAAAGTGGGCGATCTCAAACAGGCTCAAGCTTTGCTCAGGCAAAACCTTAGAAGTCCAAGTCTGTTCGACATCAAGAACTTTGTGTTTACCCTCTTTGCCTTGTCAGTCTGTTCCGATGAAGGATTAGATGAGGAGGAGGCCAGAAAGTCAGTGAACATCTTGAAGATGATGGAGGGAAAAAACGATGGGTTCTATGGCTTGTTCTTTGAGATGCTGTTGAATTGGCCCGATGGCAGACCCAGAGAAGGAAGCAAACCAATCGGAGAGACAATTAGGCAGCTGAATGCTAGGTGGACTGGTAGATACCGCAATAAGGTGTATGTAGAGTCTCGACACGACCTGCCAAGACGATCCAGAATTCGTCAAAATTACAGCCCCCTTAAGCCTGCCACAGAGTTCTACCTTGGACTTCAGAATAAGAAATCCCAATTTGTCCACAGGAAGTCCCTTGGACGAGTCACGTATGACATATGGAAAGAAGACTCCATCAAGAAGAGACTCAGGCGATTGGATGGTGTCCTAGACAGCAAGCACTTTGTCTTGTACAACCCGGATGGAGAAGAACCGGTGAAGATCACTCTGTCTCTTCCCATCAAGGGTGTACCTAGCCAGGAACCAGTTCAGTTTTACCTAGGGTTCTCATTTGCTGGCCCTCTTGCGTATGATGTAGTGTACAAGGACAACAGAGAGACCCCCTTCATTGCAAAAGAAAGTTCTACAAACTACACTTCATACGTCAATCAAATTGCTGATATTAATGAGCGCCCTGTAAGCTATGACTCCTAAAGTTCTATGTGATATCAAGAAGCTTAGTTTCTAACGAATATGTTGCTTAGAAAATACACACGTGAAGATGTCCTCAGTTCAGGGGCGTAAATCCGTACCGAGGAGTGGGGGGGGGGGGATGATCGGCGATAGCCATCACATACTAGCACGAACACACGCCTACACTAATTTAAGCCAACGCGCGCGTTCGCGCACGCACAAATAAACAACACACAACACACACACACACACACACACACAATCGCACACACACACGCACACACGCAAACGCACACAAACGAACAAACAACAAACACACACATACCCAAACACATGTACATAAATTTATACATGCATACATACACAGATACACAGATACAAAGAAGACGATTCGTTGTACCGTTCTTGACTTTTAATCCTCATCTGAATTCAGTTTTTCCTTTCCCCCCTCCCGCGCAAAGCGCGGAAGCTTTTATGTTTCATTAAATCATTAGAGAAAGAAGACGATTCGTTGTACCGTTCTTGACTTTTAATCCTCATCTGAATTCAGTTTTTCCTTTCCCCCCCTCCCGCGCGAAGCGCGGAAGCTTCTACGTTTCATTAAATCATTAGAGAAAGAAGACAATTCGTTGTATCGTTCTCGACTTTTAATCCTCATCTGAATTCAGTTTTCCCTTCCCCCACCCGCGCAAAGCGCGGAAGCTTTTACGTTTCATTAAATCATTAGAGAAAGAAGACGATTCGTTGTACCGTTCTCGACTCTTAGTTTCTTTTAAAAGGGGGTGGGTTTTTTTTCTCTCTCTCTTTGGAATCCTGAGAAATGTAAAAAGGAGGTTATAAAATATCTTGAATTTCATAGAAAAATAATATTGATCAAATCCCGGGATCAAATTCTTGAAATTCCAGCTAGCTTTGAAAGCTCATTCAGGATTATTTCATTTTAAAAAGTAAAAACATCAGCCCCCAGTCCCCCTCAATCGACTAGAGCTCACCTGAATTTCTTTTGTTTTGTTTTGTTTTTTGTTTTTTGGGGGGATGTGGTACATTTAGCAGTGTTCCGGATTCGGGGGGGGGGGTGGGTCTCCAAGGCAGGAAAAGCCAGCGAAAAGCCGGCGAAAGGGGGATTCAGAAATGTTGGCAGTCCTGAGATAGGGTGGGGGGGGGGGGGGGTGCTCTCAAAGGGAGGGAACGAGCATACGCGTACCCTAAATAACACTTAATGGGGGTAGGGAGCCGGGCATTTACTGTACATGATTGCACTTTTTAAGTGCTCGCGCCCTGGCGCACTTTACGTCTGGGCTATAATAATACCTTTTAAAATAACGAAAAATTATTCTGAAGTTTATGAAGTGCTTGTTCGCGCACGTCGCGCAACTACTCTTAATGATCGTGACATACTGTATACGTGTAGGCTATACAGTTATACATACATAAAAAAAAAATAACACATTTCTCATGCATTATGCTGAAATTGAAACAATCACATTTTTTTCCTTTTTCTTCTATTTTTTTCTCTCTTTTTTGTTTAATATCAGGGGGGGGGATGATTTTACAGGCCATCCCCCCTACTTCAAGCCAGGGGGATGCAGCCCCCCCCCCCACCCCCGGGATTTACGCCCCTGCCTCAGTTGTATGGATAAAGTTTGTTTAAAGTGCTCCATTTCTATCCCATCAATCATCAGACTAGCAAGTTTGTTTCTGAAGAAAATAGACTGCTTGAATTCCAACAGGACCAACGGGGATGACCGTATAGTTTTTTATGAAATCTTGAATGCTGTCAAAGTACAAAAGATGGAAATCTGAACGCTTACACTTGAAATTATTTATCTGAAATATTTGTAGCTGTAGACATAAATCCTTGAGATCTTTATTTTGAAGATTGTTTGTCATCTATTAAACAGGTGCATTAAATTGATACCCGTACTATTTTATTGTTATGTACATGTAGTTGCGTTTTGACTTGTGTAGCAGTATATAATCATTTGTTTGTAAATGTCATCAAGAATTTGCTTGTGCTGAGGTTGCAAGACAGTCTGTCTAGAGAGAAAATTGCTCAGTGAGAGATTTTGAGCAGGAGTCTGATAATTCGCCATGATATGTCTTTTGGGATGTTGATTAACAGTCTGTGTTTTCCATATGGTCCAGTTGTATGTATTTTGCTTTGTACTCTACATATTCCAAAAAAGCAAAAGAAGATATGAATCAATTTTTTTGAAATACAATCTTTCGTTAGAATGAAATCCAAAAATAATCTGATATTACATTGTTTGCAAAGTGTTTTATGTAATCATGCATTTGGTTTGTAACCCCAGCTGTTCAGGCTACCAAATGTGTGGACAATAATCTGTAATATTTGTGAAATGTTACAAATATATTTGAGATACAAGGTAGACAAAAGTGCTTGATGGAAAATGAAATGAATACATTGTTTTTCAGTGTTATTTGAAACCATATGAATTCGATAAGTTTGAGTTCTATGTAAAATAGAAATATGTCTTGGTTTGACTAAACTCATGAAAAAGAAAGAAAGAAGAATCAATTGTTATTATGAGGTCTCTGATCTTATGCATAGGCAGAATACCATTGTTGTTGATTTCCATTATGGCCTTGTTTACACTATGCATATCAAATTGTATCTGCTTTTTGGAAAATGAAATGAATACATTGTTTTTCAGTGTTATTTGAAACCATATGAATTCGATAAGTTTGAGTTCTATGTAAAACAGAAATATGTCTTGGTTTGACTAAACTCATGAAAAAGAAAGAAAGAAGAATCAATTGTTATTATGAGGTCTCTGATCTTATGCATAGGCAGAATATCATTGTTGTTGATTTCCATTATGGCCTTGTTTACACTATGCATATCAAATTGTATCTGCTTTTTGGAAAATGAAATGAATACATTGTTTTTCAGTGTTATTTGAAACCATATGAATTCGATAAGTTTGAGTTCTATGTAAAACAGAAATATGTCTTGGTTTGACTAAACTCATGAAAAAGAAAGAAAGAAGAATCAATTGTTATTATGAGGTCTCTGATCTTATGCATAGGCAGAATATCATTGTTGTTGATTTCCATTATGGCCTTGTTTACACTATGCATATCAAATTGTATCTGCTTTTTGGAAAATGAAATGAATACATTGTTTTTCAGTGTTATTTGAAACCATATGAATTCGATAAGTTTGAGTTCTATGTAAAACAGAAATATGTCTTGGTTTGACTAAACTCATGAAAAAGAAAGAAAGAAGAATCAATTGTTATTATGAGGTCTCTGATCTTATGCATAGGCAGAATACCATTGTTGTTGATTTCCATTATGGCCTTGTTTACACTATGCATATCAAATTGTATCTGCTTTTAACTATGTAGCTATATAACTCGTGTGATAATACACTGTACTGTATTATTTAGGGGAAAAGAGCATGGTTTGCTTTTTGCATGTTGTTATTTGACTGTGTTATGTTCATAGAAACTGTAAATAAAAGCAATTTTAATGTGTGAGTATCATATGACGTAAATGGGAGTCTTATTGCAGTTGAAAGTATTTGCAAATATGATTTTTAGTGATGCCTAATTGACACGATGAGTTGGCCGGTTAAGTGAAACAAACTCCATGAGACTTAGGAAATCACCTTGTAATGTAACCTTGTAATATCAATTCAGAACTAAACATATTACAAGCAAGTGGGAATGGTCAAATAACCTCACTGTAACCCCTAGAAGTTCAGATTTTTCTCATTTACTAATTTAATCAGCTTTTCCTCAATACCTCCTCAGATGGGCAACAAATTCTCCAATTTTTCACTCTTTCATAATTTGAAGGAAAAATGTTTATTGAATGAAAAATTGTGACAAAAAATTGCAAAATGTAACTAAAAAATTGTAAATTTGTACATGGAAAATAATAATTGATGTTATAGTGCGCTGCATCGTCAATTAAGAGACTGTAATGATTAGTTAAAATCAAATTGCTCTTTTTTGAGAATGGCACAATGTACAGCATTTGAAATAGACTCATAATTTCTGTGTTTTTTTTGCTCTTTCCGCTAAATGTATGATTTAATTTCTGTTAAATAAGTATAATTATCAGTAGAATAGCATATGGGCAACTTTGACACTTTTGTAAAGTAAATTTGTTACACTCTCTTGTTTATTTTTTTTAAAACTCTGGTTGTACATGATAGTACATGTATGTTCTTTTTCTACCTTGTATGTGTGTGTTTAGGGGTAGGCTGTCATATAAGGAATCGCTCCTTTCTGCCTATCCCAAATTCTCTCATAAATTGATATTTTAATGTTATCACTATCTTGTTTTTTTTTTTATCATTACATTCTATTTTTGTATGTTTTTATGGAGCTTGTTGAATAAACTTTGAATTTTAATTTATGTGTAATTCCCAGCATTCTGGATTGCGGTCTCCTGCACTTTTCCAACAGAATAGTTCGGATAATACTTTAAATTCATGATACTATGTTATGGAAATATTTAGTTTCGTATAATATATGTACATATATTATTACAAACCTTACATTTATATGTTCTTTGTTATTCAGTTATATTATATTTGGAAAAATGCAGAAATTTAAAAAAAAAAAAAGAGCATGCAAAAAAGTCACAATACGGAGACACAGTAGGCCTACTGCTATGCTATACCGATAATGAGTTTGTGATAACCGTATCCTTTATATCGAGGTTTCACTGTATTGTTTTGTTTTCCTGTATGATATATCAAGGAATTGTCTCCTCTTCTAATGTGTCTTGGCATCATTGCAGTGTCTAACGTATTTCAGATATGAGCTCTATTCATGTCTCCTAATGTAATATATTGTTATATTCCCAAAATCTCATTGAGATGCTTCTTCTTGGTATACAGTACAGTAGGAAATGTATATTCCAATGTAGGAATTAAGTGGTGTAATGTTTAGATGTAACGGTGAGATGGTAGAAGTGCGTACTATCAGCTTGAACTTGAAACTTGATTTAAAAAAAAAAAAAAATTAGGAATTTTTCAAGAACGGAACCGTTATTTTGACTCTGTATTAGTGTCATTTGTTTTCATCGTATTTGAACTGATTTATATGATATCTAATAATTATCCCGTTCAAAATT